GATCTCACTATCCCATCAAACATGAGCCTGACAAAACCTTTTTTGAGCTCAAAATAGCAAGTTAATTCAGGAAAGCTGACAGGTGAATGAAAATGAGCTTCTAATCAATTAAACAGACATGTGATGTAATATTTCCCTGGTGATAAACAATCAAAATAGCTGCAAAAGTCCCTAACAAACTCTTGGCCAGTGGTGAGGAGGCTGAGGGTGCAGAAGCCGCAGTCTGGCGCGGTGGACACACCCATTGGTCGTTCCTTGGTGTGTCCTCCTCTTCTTCCTCCACCTCCTCCTCCTCTCTGCCCCACGCTCTGGTTAGAGTTACTCACAGGAAGAGAGGAAGCGAGGGGATGAAGAGCAAGAGTGCTGGTAATGAAGAGAGCAAACACCCTGGTGAGGGGGTGGCTGGGTGGAGAGATGCCATGGAGAGAAAGCATGCGTGAGAGGACAAACTTTGTGTGTGTCTGTCTGTGTATGTATGTGTGTGTGTCTGTGTGTGTGTGTGTGTGTTTAAGTCAACAGCTTCAATCCCATTATCCTCCCAGCTCCCGTTCTCCGTTACCTTCCCGTAGGTTGCTCCGGTCGCCGACCCGGTGAAGAGGCTCCGGACGGCGGACTGCAGCGGCCGCCGGTACATGGCTCCACGGTGTCCGAGTATGGAGGCAGTGAAGCGGGAGGCCACCAGACTGCGGCTCCCTTCAGTAAAACCTTCAGGTTTTGTAACTCCAGTCCTCTTCCTCCTCCTCCTCCTCCTCAGCAATGTCAACGGAATCTGTCCGACACCGAATAATGTCCGAGGAGAAACAGGAGCAAAAACAGGCTCAGCGAAAGAAAGGTTCCGCCAGCACACAGAGTGGTTAGTAATGCTGGGTATTTATATTTATATTTATATTTTCTTTATTCTGTTTTTTTATTGTGGACCAAACGTTTGTTTACTACAACTACTAACTATTTAATAATTATTTAAAACCAAGAGCCACAATGTCCAGATGTACTCAAGTATTGTCCTTAAGTACAACTTTGGGATACTTGTAGTTTACTTTCTTTTGTATTTGTATTGTCTCTTTTTAAAGTCTCTATTTTTATCTTTATTTATATGTTATATGTTTATTGTAATGAACTAATTTACCAAGATAAATTCCTTATATGTGGATACCTACCGCAATATCTATCTATCTATCTATCTATCTACATATATACATACATCTAGATATGTTCTTACTGAACCAATTGTACTAACTGTAGACTTACAGTATTTTGCAGTGTACTTGTCATAAATAGTTACTGCTTCCTCCAATATTCAAATAGTTGTATCCATTCAACCCAAGGTCATTATCTGAATATTATGATTATTATGATCAGATAGTTGCTAACCTTTTCTGTCAGCTGTTTGTTGCTGGCCGTAGTGTACTCAGAACCTTTTCATAGAAAACAGCTGCCTATAGAGGTTGAACCATATCCGTACTGTAAATGTTCAGGCCATTAAACAGTGAGTCAAAACAGGCTAAAAGTATCCACAGACCTGCAGGATTTCACATAATTACACAGTTATTTGATTCAATGTTAATGCTGCAATCATCTACTTTCTTTTCATTATAAAAGACTCTCTCTCCTCTCCTGTCAAAGGAACAGTCATCCTGAAGATCAGAGTGTCTGTTATGGCACACAGCTATGGAACGACTCCAGGGCCACAGAGTAAGCAGGGCCATGCATGGCTGCCTCCACAGATTGTTCAAAGCCATCCAGCTATTCAACTGCTTCCTGCTAAAGCCCCCCCAGTCCGACAGTCACAGTATGTAATGTATTTCTGCATGAAAGACTTGAGAAGATAACCCGTTAGCCCCATCATGTACAACCACTGCTGACACTCAAACCTACGACACCAACTGTATGCAATATTGTCATTCTCACACAGTGTTTTGCAGCTTTTAAGTTACTAAATCTATTAATTTCAACATCAAGGTTCACATGTTGAACTGAAACTGCAACTGAGGTCTTCTACAGGTAGGATAACGTACTGTAGATGATGTGGCATCAGTAGTAGAGCCAACATTGAGTTTAGTAAGCACTTTTCAATCATGAGCAACAGTAACAGTGGCTGTGGTCGCTGTGGCTGCAGGTTAAACAGGAAACTCTAGTCGTCCCTCGGAAAGACACTTCAACACCTTTGTCTCTCCAGGAAAGTCATATTCACCTTTTTTAAAGGTCTAGTGTGTANNTGGCAGAAATTGAATATAATATCCATAGGTATGTTTATATTAGTGTATAATCACCTGAACATACGAATCATTGTGTTTTTGTTACCTTAGAATGAGCTGCAGGTGCTCTGGAGTCATGTTGAACCGCCATGTTTCTACAGTAGCCAAAAACGGACAAACCAGTTAGTTGCAATCTGAAACTTCACCACTAGATGCCACCAAATCCTACACACGGGTCTTTTAAGTGCTTGAAGATCCAATCATCAATAAATCTTATGTGACTGACATTGAGAAGGTCCGTGTTTAGACCAGAAAAGGGCCCCAACAGGTAAAAAAAAAACCACACACACACACACACACACAAACTAGCATTACGACATGCTTAGGGAATGGTACCTCATGGCACATTGTCCAAATAGTGTTCATGGCCAGAAAATGAATCTGTAGTTTAGCAGAAAGACAAAAAGGCAGAAAGAAAAGCACACTGTTGTTATTACACACACTGACATTCAGAGAGAAGCTAATATATTCTGATTTACTTTAATTCGCCTGGTTTCCCTCATTTTCAAATTATGTCAAAATGAACTTTCCTGGCATGCATGAAAGAAGAGCCAGTGTGGCAGCAGTGAATGTTCCTGTTATTATTTTGTGTTTTTCCAATTTGGCCTGTGTAGCCCTTTGATTCCTGAGTCACAGCTTGTGGACACAATCAATCACTGCTGATTAATGGATGATGATTGATGAAGAAATGATGTGTGTGTGTGAGAAAGAGAGGCACAGTGTGAGAAAACAGAAAAAAGATCAGCAAGAGAGAGAGAGAAACTAAATGAAAGGGTGTGAAAGGGAAAAACTAAAAAAGGTCAAGTTGAGTTTTCTGGACCAGCAGTCTGGTTGAGACCTGAACCTTTGTGAGGAAATGAAATCAGCGGCTTTAGATTGATGCTGAACGTGAACAGTTACAATAATACTTCAGCGGTGAATTATGAGACGCGACTGAGTGGGGTAACGTCAGGTCTAGCCACTGCTATTTCCTCGGCAGACAGTCAGATGCTGTACTCCCTGAAGTGACCTCACCTGACACACACACGCACACACACACACACACACCGTTTCCCATCTATGACCTTGAAGTAGCACTGAGTAACCCTCCCAGGAAGCTACCAAACGTCCCAGCAGGCTGCCTCTGTTCCAGATTAAATTTCATCTGTTTTAGAGTTTAGTTTTCAACCCACCACCACCAACATTAAAATTCTTGTGGAATCCCCTTAATTGGCATTCAGACTGTCACACTAGCAGTTAAAACTTTAGCACATTTGAGGAGCTAATATTGTACACAACATTCATTACACTGTTCACTGCTTATTTGACCTTTTTGCTCAGTTACTGTGAATCTTCCATTTGTGTAGGGCTTATATAGAGTCTCTAATGTTAGCTGCAATCGTTAGCATACCGGGCTAACTGGTTTATTATCTACAGTAGTGTTACTTCCCTGCTGCTGCTGACTCATCCACAGTGTAGTATCAGATTTGGTTCACTCTCACCGTTCTCATTAGTGCCGTTTTAAAAAGCTCAAAAACTCTCAAGAGGGGGAATAATGGATTTATATTTGTCAGAAACATGACACCAAATCTACAAAATGTTGTTCTCTTTCTACTGGATGTGTATATAAGTAACAGTTTGCTAACAATTTTGCTGCAATGTGACTGGATTACATACACAGTCAATGCAAAGATGCAAATAGGCACAATTTGCATAACCAAAACTGTGATGTTTTCCTAAACAAATAGTTTTGGTGGCTAAACCTGAGGGAGCTGTGACTGTGTCACAATGTTAACCACATGTTATTTGGCTTTCTTACAGTAATGTAGTGCAGTAAATATATGGAAGTATACAGAGTATACTCAGTGAACATTGAGTGAATCCCCTCTGATGTGCATCATTCAGTGTTCTTAGGATGGCAAAGGTATCAAATAGTTTTCACGATGGATTGCAAAATCTGCTCTTTAGGATTCTTAATCCCTAAAGTCATGCAGCAGAAGTTAACTGACAATATGTTAATACTATCAGCCCGATTTTGGGTGAACTAAATATGCAAGAGTAGACAGGCTTCCAAACTAAAAGGAGCATAACTCAAGAGTATACCCACTTCTTCAGGCACCATTACACCGCTGGATGAGACGCTGACGGGCGTGACGAAATGTCGGTATTTGATGACTTGGGAATGAAAATTTGTTGGATATTAATGTGTAATGAGACTCAACAGCTCCATGTTTGTCTCTCTCTTTCAAAAACTGCTGTATGTATTAGTGTTGTGCGATATTGTCTGTATGCGACATGCATTAGTGTGTCTGTTTTTTGTGTGTATGCACGTTTGTTTATGTGTAATTGTCTGTTCTGCAACCGTGTCAGTGGCTTGTGCGTTTATGTGTGTGTTTTTGTATTAATAAAGAGTGATAAATGGTGGACTCAGAGGAAGCGTTGGATTCCTGCTTGGCTCCTGTTCCTGTGAGAAACCTCGCTAAAGAAAGCAGACATAAATAATGGCTGCCACTGCGCCATCCTGCCCGCAATACTACACTGTGTGTGTGTGTGTGTGTGTGTGTCTTAGTCCACTTTTAACAGTATCCCATAGGAGAAAAAGTGCAAAGAAAACAAAGGTCAAGGATGTATTTATACTCACCCATGCACATATGCACACACTCATGGGAGCACACATGCAAAAAGCAAGTGAGTGATGGCGCTGCCTCTCCTCAAAGGCACATAGTAAAGTGTGTGTGTGTGTGTGTGTGTGTGTGTGTGTCTGTTCCATCATCCGCTCCCACTACAGGGCAAAAAGTCAGTGAACGTCTCACCAAAGTGTGTGAGCACCTTGTTTCCACATGGCCCCTGCTGGTTTGAGAAAGTCGTTTCTTGAGGGATGGAGCCATTAAGAAGCAACGTTATTAGCACTAAAGCACAGGAGCCATTAAATCGACCTGTAACACACGATCGCAGGTTTAGATTAGATTCAGAGGCAATTAACTTTACGTAGCGCATGCTGTTTGTGAGGTAATGGGATCTTAAATACAAATAAAACTGCAGCCAGATTAGATTCAAAAGTTCATAAATGAAGACAGATGGGGGGGCGTCCTGGTGGGTCAGTGGACCGTGTGCTGAAACTGGGCGTGAACCCCTCGTCCCTTCAGGTAGTGAGAACATATGACCTCCCTCGACGTTGTATTCAAACTGTTGTATCTTATTTTTGTTCTTATTGGAATGATTATGATTTGGGAGTCATTATTGTTTGCCGGGGTTGAAATGTTTGCTGTTAGGAAGGTCTCTCACATCCAAAAGCCAAAGTTAGATGAGGTGGTGAAGCAGTG